GGGCGGGCCGCGGCGGCGAGATCGACGGAATGTGTCGATTGCCCCGCGGGTAACTATTCCGCGAGCGCGGGATCGGCGACGTGCGATGCGTGTCCGGCGGGATATATATGTGAAGATGCGCTCACAACCGAGCCCGAGGCGTGCGCCGCCGGTTCGTACGCGCCCGAGGGGAGTACAAAGTGCGTTCCGTGCGCGGTTGGGACGTATCAAAATAGCAGCGCGTCGGCGTCGTGCGATCCGTGTCCGCCGGGGAGATTGTGCTACTCGAACGCGCAACGGATTACTCCGGGCACGTGTCCAGCTGGCTCGTACGCCCCAGAGGGTCATACAGAGCAGTTGTGCATCCCGTGTGCGATCGGAACGTATCAACCGCTCACCGGTCAGGGTGAGTGTAAAGTGTGTGATGAAGGTAAGTCGTGTCCGGAGGAAGGGCTCACGGCGCCCCGAGAATGCGCGGGCGGGACGTACAGCGGTTACGATGTCAAAAACGAAGCCGTCGCCTTCGCGTTACCGTATAATGCATCGGATACCAACCGTCACCCGACTGTGAGCGCCACGGGTGGGGAGTCGTGTGAAACGTGCCCGGCGGGATATTACTGCCCGGACGGTCTTGGACCACCCACATTGTGTCCGATCGGAACGTACTCCGTCGCGGGGGCGACGTCGTGCGTGGGTTGCGACGCCGGCAAAGCGTGTCCGAAACCGTTGGTATCATCGATAAGGGATTGCATCAGCGGAACATTTAGCGTTGGGAACGCCACGTCCTGTACCGAGTGCTCGCCCGGAAGATACTGCATGGATACAACGAAAAATTTGCAGTTAAATTGTGCGCTGGGATTTTACAGCTACGGGGGCGCGGTGAGCGCGTGCACGCGTTGCGAAGCTGGGAAAGAGTGCCCCGACGTGACAGGTTCTCGGAACGCCGATTGCGATCCGGGTACATTTAGCGCTGGTGGTCAAACGACGTGTACTTTCTGCCCCCCTGGGAGATTTTGCAACGAAACAGACTCGGCCGCAGCGCAATACGACTGCGCGGCTGGAACGTACAGCGAAGGCAAGCAAATTACGTGTACACCGTGCGCGGCTGGAACGTTCGGCATCATCATCGCCGCAGTGACGCCCTCCGACTGTAATCCATGTCCGAGCGGCATGTACAGCACCGTGGAGGGCGCGAGCAGCGACGATGCGTGTCATTTGTGTCCAGTGGACACGGAGTGTCCAAATACAGGCACCGTCACTCCGACACCTTGTGCATCGGGGCTCGGGACGTTTGGCGAAGTGGGTCAAACCGCATGCGGAACAGCGCCTCCGGCGCCGAGTCCGCCGCCGAGTCCACCACCACCGCCTCCTTCACCCCCGCCTCCGGCGCCGCCGCCGCTGAATGAGACGGTGAGCGCTCCAAAAATTTCTCTACGGTTGCAGGGAAACATTGAAGAGTGGACGAGCGCGAACGAGTCGGCGTTCCAGATTGGAATAGCGTCCGCACTCAACGATGGAACGGTCGCTGCGGATGTCGAGATCATCAGCGTCAAGTCAGGTTCGGTGATTGTTGCTTTTCAAATCACCTCCGCGGCAATGCTTCCGCCGATGTACGGCGGTAATTGGAATCAGACGTATCTGACGGACGCGGTGGCAAAGATTTCGAGCGCGGTCACGGCAAACACTTTAAACGTAGGGGCTCCAGTGTACGATCTGCCGTCAGTTGACTGCGCTCCGGGCTCTTACGTGTTCTCATCATCGGGCTCGAACAGAGTGTGCAAACTATGCAGCCTCGGTAAATATTCCTCAGTCACAAATGCACCGCAGTGTACAAGTTGCGCCGGAGGCACGGCGACGCCGTATCAAGGTTCGAGCGCTTGCGCCAACTGCGCGCCCGGGACAGTGGCTCCGAACCCGGGCTCATCAGAGTGCTCTTTGTGCCCACGTGGTACGATTCAGCCTGCTTCCGGTGAGATGTCGTGTACGCAGTGCCAGGACAATTATTTTGCGAGCGCTTTCGGCTCGATTTCATGCGCGCCTTGCCCAGCTGGATTCGTCAGCGGTGCCCCCGCGTGGGTGGGCGAGACTGCGGGCATGCGAGCGGATGGTGTTCTTAGTGTTGAGGTGCAAGAGGCCATTGGTGGTGTGCGATGCATTCCAGACGGTACGTACGATTTACCTCCACCGCCCCCTCCGTCCGTGAAAGAGCGCCTTGCGGACAGAACTTCCTGGACAGTTGGTGGTATCTCCCTTTCCGTGTACACTCTGTTCCTTTACGTGTTAGGCCGCCACATATGGCGCAAAGAAAAGTTGACTCTAAAGTATGCTGAGAATGACTCCTTCATGTACACTATCACGCCGTTGATGGAGAACACGCCGAGCCGTCGCGGGACCATGATAGAATTCGAAGAGGAGGACTTGCGCTTTGCCATCGACTGCTTCCGTAGAGGCGCCGTTGATGACGCGGAGGCGGTGTGCTCTCGAATTGCAGAAAGAAATCACCTGAGCGCGGACGCCTTGCAAGGTTTAGGCATCGCTAGAGCGTGCGCAGGCGATTTAGAATACGCTCACGCGTTCGCGCACAGAAGCGTGAACATCGCGAGTACGTCACAACGCCAGATCACTCTTGCGAACATATACCTGAGTCAAGGCCACACGGAGAAAGCGATCGCCTTGTTTGACATAGCGATCCGTCGAGATCCGGTAAGCGCGATTGGTCACTTCAACATTGGCAACGCGCACTTCATGTCTGGGGACTGGGCGAGTGCGAGAACGAGCTATCTCGCCGCTCTCGATCGTGAACCTCACTACTACAAAGCGTTGTACAACCTCGCGATGCTACTGGACGTAACTGGCTTCATCGCAGAGGCGAAGGATACGATGAAGAGGGCAGTTGAGATTCGTAGAAGCGACGTACGAGGGGTGTATGCGATGGGCCTCCTCTATGTGAAGCTTGGACAGTGGAAGAAGGCTGAGGAACAGTTCAAAAATGCACTGCTGATCGATGATAAGCACGCGATGTCGCACGTGAAACTCGGAAATTTAGCTTTCAGGCGAGGAGAGTTCGAGTTCGCCGGAGCACTCTACCTTAATGCGCTCGAGTCGGACTCGACGAACGTTGAGGCGCTGACCAACATCGCAATGCTGGATTGGTGCAAGGGACTGTCGAACGCGAGCAACTCCCAGCTCAGATTGGCGATCACGATAAATCCGACGTACTATCCCGCTCTATATAATCTGGCCGTCACTCGACTCTCTCAAGGTAGAGTTGACGAATGCTTAAGATACTATCAGCGGGCGAAAGCTTGCTGCGGCGACTCTGCGTTAGAAAAGACTCAGATATTCAATCTGAGCGTCGCCCTGGCAGAAATCGATGAGATAGATGACGAGGAGGTGCCGATGGAGTTCACGACGACCGCAGCGGAGCACCAGCTCATGAAGATAGCCGTATCAAAGATTCAAACTGACGACGGTAGGAGCTCCATGCCGGCGACTTCCGTGAAGATGTCTGTGAAATCGACGCCGACTCTGAGCGCGATGCCCTCAAACGTGGCTCATGACGATGAAGGTGACGTTCTCCTGACGCGCACCGAGTGTAAATACGTCTCACTCGTATTCATCTCAGATGCTGTGAAGTTCCCAGAGCGACTGGAGTCATGCGCGTTAGACGATACGTGCGTCATCGTCTACGAGCACGATATGAACAGAGTGATGCTGTGTCGAACGCTCGTGTCGAAGGCAAAAGAAAAGTTGTCCGATGCTCACGGGCTGCAATCTGTCGATCGCATCGCGATTATTGCACCCGCGTTCTTAGGAGGCGTGCAGCTCGGTGAGCACGTCGTGATCGACTCACGGACCGTGAGGCAACATGTGGACGTTTCGTTCTTCCTGAAGGGACTCAACGAAATGCTCGGCCTGTATCAGTGGCAAGGCAAGCGACTTGACTTTCTGACGCTCGACCACACCGCCCCGGTAAACATCCAGTTGTTAAGAACGATCAAGTTTGAGCATTCTTTCGAGTGCGACGTGGCCTGTTCGGACACCATGGAATCTGTGGAGACGTTCACTCTTACCGACGAGCAACTCAAGCTCACGCACGGCGCTGCAAGTGGTACAAGCGCGAGTTTGAACTACTTCAACGCGAAAGCGCTAAAGGATTGGGCCTCACTGCCTCGAGCGCCGCCAAAGCATAAAATCGTGCAGTCTTCCACCGGTGGGATGCTCGCGCTCAAAGGAGACGACGAGTACGAAAAAGCGAAAGTATCTTGGCGCACAGCGGCGAAGGCCACCATGGCGCTCAGACCTGCAGCACACGCCGTCATGCCGATGCACAAAGCTAGCATCGAGCCGCCACCACCGATCCTTGCACCACCAGAACCCGAGGAAGTCTCCCTGCGGCGCTCAGGGAAGAGACATAAGCAGAGCAAGAAAACACAAGACAAGTGGGTTGATTTGGAAATGATGACACCAATGCCCTCCGCGAAGTTTAAACAACACGTTACTCAAGTTTTCTTCTGCAATGAAATTGCAGTGGAGCTCGGGATCGACGCGAACAGAGTTCGCGTGGTGAGAACAGATGAAATCACCGACACAGTCACCGTTCGCATCACCGAACGTACTCCTGAGAACGAGCCTCGGATGGTTCCATCGCTGGAAACGATCGTCAAGAACTTCCAAGACAAGATCAAGGATGGAACGTTCATAATCGATGACGCGTTCAACGGCATGTACGTCTTAGGAGTGTTCTGGCCCCCGACTGAGACAGAGGCGGATGTGGATGACGCGGCGTCGGGAATTTCGAGCGGAGATGATACTCGCGTTTCACACGATGAGAACACGCCGACGTCTTTCACGCACAGCTTCGCATCGGCGAGCATCACGTCTGAATTCAACGTGCATGATATCGGTGGTGGTTTCGGTGCCGGTGACTCAAAGCGAGCTAATCCGTCGTCGACAGTGACGCAGCCGGTCACGACACTTTCGCTCGAGCCCACTCCCACATCTCTGGTACCGATCATGGCGCGTCAGATGCACGATTTCGTGGAGATCGAGTTCAATGATGCGAGCGAATCGGTGACGTCTGCGGCGACGAATGTCTCAACACCGCGTTGGGATTTGGACCGTAATGTTGAGAACTTGCGCAAATTGGAGCGCACGGGCATCTGGGATGCCGATATATAGATAGACAAACATAGTAGGTACCGGTACCGGTAGCAGTGATCAAGCGCTAAAACGTCCTAGCACGTTTACCTCGTCCCCTCCTTTCGTGGCTTCTTCAGCGCACGTCTCTCGGCGTCTAAATCGAATCCCCCGCTTACCATTTTCAACTCATCTTTTATCTCCTCCGCGTCCGGTGCTGTCTGCAGCGCCTCGTCTAACTGCTGCAGAGCCAATTTGTACCCCAAATTCACCTGCGCCGGTGTTCCCCGAACCTCTATCGCCCGCACCACCGCGTGCTCGTTCCCTTCGTGCACTTTCTCCTCGTCTGAAATCACTATCTTACACTTTGACAATCCTTCAATCTTCTTCACATGTCCGTACCCTCGACCGATGAACGCCCCTAAGAACACCTTGGGACAGAAGAACCGTCTGGACGTTTGATTCTCCGTCTCTCTGATCAGCGCATCAATGAGCCTTAAGCACTTTTCCACCGCCTCGCTCGCGCCGCGCACCGCCACCGTTCGCGTCTCCTTCTCCCCGCACTCAGCGATATCGTCATCGAGCGTCACCTTCACCCCTAACGCCTGCACCATCTCCCCGACGCCGTTCCCATCGCTCGAGAGCAACCGCATCGCCACACCGTGCTCGACTCGCCGTCTTCGAATGACGTCCACGCGAACCGTCGCGACGCGTTCATTCCCATCCTCCGCTTCTCCGCTCGCCCCGGCGTCGAAGTACGTCGGACGCGATCTCGTCTCCATGACTTCGTTCACGGCGTCGCGCAGACCGCTTTGAGCGCGTCTCTGCGCCGCGCACACGCGCGCGGCGTCTTCGAAGACGTCGTCGGCGAATTTCGGTAAAATCGTCTTCGTCTCGCGTCCCGCGGGCGCCTTCACGTCGCTCGTCGACGGACGTTCGTTCACGGCCTCTTGCTCCACCCGCTCGTCCGCGTCATCCGTGTCCGAGGACGACGACACGGGCACGGCGTCGAAGAAACTCATCGTATGCAAAACGCCGCGCCGCACTCTGCCGCGCGCCGCGCGTCATGCGCGCCATCGATGGCGTCGACGCCGCGGACACCGACGCGAACGACGTCAACGCGCCCCTCCTGCCCGACGACGACGACGCGGTGACGACGAGCGAGGAACACGCGCGCGATGAAGAGATTCAGGAAGTCACGGACGCGTCGAGTCTGCGACTCTCGCGCGCCGCGCTGCACGTCGCCGCGCTCGGCTCGCCGCTCATCTTACAGTACATCTCCACGTCGACGTCGCAGACGTTTCAGCTCGGGTTGTTGAGTCGAGTGGGTGGGGAGCGCGCGGTGGCGGCGTTCGGTTTGGGAACCGTCGTCTGCAGCGTCACGGCGCACTCGGTGATTTGGGGACTGGGAAGTGGCGTCGACACGACGAGCTCGCAGGCGAACGGGATGGGCGCTAAAAGAGCGATCGGGGAGACGGCGTTGCGGGCGACGGTCATTCTTTGGACGTTAGCGGCGACGCCGGGTGGGTTGATTTTTTGGAACGCGGAAAAGTTATTGTCGACGGTGGGCGTCGATGCGGAAGTGGCGGAAGCGGTGCAGGCGTTCGCGCGAGTGCGGATTCCGGGACTTTTCGCGCAGAGCGTCACTTGCGTGGCGTTAAAAACGATGATGGCGATGAAATTGTCGGAGCGAGTGGGGACGCTCTCTGCGAGCACGACGCCGTTGAAATTCATAGCGCCGTGGTTCTTCGTGTGGCGTCTGCGGATGGGATTACACGGCGCCGCAGTGGCTTTGACGTGCATCGATTTCGGCACGATGACTATGTACCTCACCGCGTTCTTGACTAGTCCGTGCTGTAGGGAGACTTTGCGGGGCTGTCGGCTGTCCAAGGTGTTCGAGGATTGGGGCGCTTTTTTGCGGCTCGCCGTGCCCGGATTATTCATGAGCGCCATCGAGTGGTGGTCGTGGGATTTCAACAGCGTCTTGGCGTCCATGTGCGCGAACGCGACGCTGGAGTTGGCGACTCAGGCCTTCTTAGCAAATACGTACTTTTTTTTCTACTCGTGGGCGTGTGTGTGGGCTCGCGGGGCGAGCACGAGCGTGGGAAACGCGTTGGGCGAGAGAAAAATTCGAGATGCCGCGACGCTTGCGCGCGCCACAGCGGTTTTGTCCCTGAGCTTTGCCTTGGTGAGTGCTATGTTGTTTTTCATCGGCGCCGACGCTCTGTTCGCGACTTACACGCAAGATGACAGCATAACACGAAGACTCGATCAGCTCGTGCCGTTGCTCACGCTTTTGATCGCCACGGACGGACTGCAGGTCTCTCTCAGTGGGGTCATTGTCGGTGCCGGGCAGCAAACCGTCATGACGCCGGTGCTCGTGTTCTCGTACTGGTGCGTCGGGATCCCTCTTGCGGCGTTCCTAGGGATCGGGCGTCCAAAACTCGGACTCGTAGGTATATGGATCGGTATACTGGTGTCAAGCGTTTTACATTTGGTTTTCAATGTGATCATCTGCTTTGCGGGAGAGATCGGTGCGCCGTTCGCCATTCAATGGCATAAAGCGAGCGAGAACGCGATCGAGCGTCTGCGTGATGAAGGAGCCGTGGAAGATAAAGACGAGAGTAGCGACAAAGAGGATAGCAAACTAGAGAGTGACTCAGACGGAATTCTTTTACTGTAACAACAATCGCTCGATTCTTTCTCATCAACGGCGGGATTTGTTTGTCTTTTGCTTTTGCTTCGGTAGTTTGAGCGGTTTGATGATGGAGCCAGTCGGCTTCAAAATCTTCGGTGCATTCAGCTTGGTGAACATGCTCGACGTATTGACGTCTGGACCGAGCGGCTGGCGCATTGTGCCCTCGTACGTGGCCTTGCTCGAGAAACCGTGCGGGAGCGATTCGACGTTGAACTGCGCCGCCTTTTTATCGAACTTCTCACTGATGACGACGTGCTTCAACTTGGCATCGCGGCGAGACTTGAGTGCCTTGGCGCGTTCTGCCTTGGCCTTCTTTTCCGCCTCGATCATCCACTTGGGTGTTTTCTGGCTTCCCGCCCACTGCCCCCATCCTGGAAGATTTTTCGGCGTGTCGGCGTCGGGAAGCTCGGCGTTCACATCTGCGAGCTTTTCCTTCTCGAACTCGGCCTCGATCCCATCGTTCGCGAATGCGCGACGCATCAAGTCTTCATTATTCATCCCGACTTGTCGCTCTTCATCGAGCATCACGGTCGGTTCCTCGTCTTCCTCTTCAACGACACGTGGCGGCGCCACGCGAGCTGCAGCCTTTTGGCGCATCTTTCTCGCCGCGTCGGATATCTCACCAACGGGCTTCGCCTTGATCACTGGACCGTTAGAATTCTTGTTAGAAGTCTTCGAGGGCTTCGTCGTTGCGCTCGGTGGCTCGTCTTCTCGAGCCTTCTTCGGAGCCACGGCTTGCTTGGCACGAGCGGTCATCTGTTCCCACTCGTCATCGTCCGAGTCATCCTCGCTATCGCTCGACCCGTCTTCATCCTCGCGGTCCATCCGATCAAGCTCGTCAAGCATCTCACGTGCCTCGGCTTGACTCTCCGTCCGTCTCTTCTCCATCGCTCGGGCCATAAACGGAAGCTTGAACAAGCTCTCATTCGCGCCTGCCAAATCACTCCCACCATCCTCCAGGGCCTTCAGCGCCGCAGCCTTCGCCTTGAGTCTGCGCTTTCGCTCGGCGGCAGGATCATCGGGAGCATCGTCATCGTCGGAATCTTCCGCGTCTGTACTCCCTTCCCCGTCCGAGGTCGTCGTTCGCGTTCCTTCAATCTTTTCTCGAAGCTGTTGTCCTATGCGAAGCTGTTCCTGAAGCTTCTCGCGCGTCCCTGCGAGGTGGGCGATTCCCTTCTTTATCGCTCGCTTGGCCCACCGAGACGTATTTTTGTGTCTAAGCAACATACGTTCTTGCGCTCGCAGGTACTCGCGGCGCTCTTCCGGGGTCTGACCGTCAGCGTCTTCGTCGTCTTCGTCGCCGATGACTTTGAGCTCGCCCTTGCGATTGACGCGATGATACGCCTTGGATTTGATCGCCTTCAACCTCTTCGCCTTTTGTTCGTGATAGAATAGCACCGCACGCATCTTTGCCAGCTTCGCTTGACGCGACTTGATGTCCTCGGTGTCCAAGTGATTCATCTCGAGCAATTCGCCTCGAACGACATCCTTGGCGCTCGCGTGGCCGGTTTCCTTCAACACCTTTGCGATCTCCATCTCAATCTCCGTCTTGGGCAGAAAGTCCGCGGTGAGCGCCCCGAGGGTGTCTTTGCGCTGCATCTCGTCTCGCGCGGGCGCAAACTTCAACGTACGCTTCTCGCGATTCTCCTTGACGACGGATTGATACTTGCTCACGTCAGCGCTCGTCTCCGCGTACGCCGCCCTGCGGTCAATGCGCTCCTGAATAGGTCTCGCTAGCGGTGCATCCACCGCCTTCGCTTTCGCGATCTTATTCAATCGTTTCACCGTCTCCCGAGAGAGCGTGTCCTCCCCGAGCGACGCCATGACGTCCTTCAGCGTCAGCTTTGGTTGATCCGACCTCGCCGCGATGGCGAACAGGTTCTCCTCTCCAGCCGGCTTCACCACCGGTCTGTACCTTGGATCGAGCTCAAATTTCTTCCGCTTCCCCACAATCTCATCCAATGCCCGCTCTCGTCGCGCGTCCTCTTCCTCCTCCTCTTCTTCCGACAACAGATCCCTCAAATCCTCCTCTCCGTCGTCTCGCTCATCCTCCCGCGGGCGCTTCAAAGCCTTACCCGCGTCACGACCCGACGTCCGCGGTTCCTCCTCCTGCTCCTCCTCGCTGTCCATCACCGCTCGTAAATCATCATCATCGCCGTCTTTCCCATCCCTCTTCACGCCCTCATAGCCGTCGCCATCGTCGTCGTCGTCCCACGCCTTGTCGCTCTCCGCGCCTCCGCCCAACGCCTCGCCCCAGCGCGCCTCATCCTCGTCGTCAAACGCCTCGTCTTCGTCGATCTCCTCGTCTTCGAACGCGTCGACGTCACGCACGTCCTCGAAGACGTCCTCGTCGCTCGGCGGGTCGACGTCCGAGTCCGAGGGCGATGGCACGGAGGGTTTTCTTCCGCCGCCGCCGGCTAGTTTTTTCCGGCGGCTCGGCATTGATGCGCACGCGCGCGTCGTTTCGCGGGCGTCTCGGCGGTGTAGACGACGCGCTCGCGGCGAGGGGTATCGGCCGTCGCGCGTGGACGTTTCGTGCGAGGGGTCTGGGAGGACGCGCCGCGAGGTGGCGGCCGCGGTGAATGAATGAAAGAGAGTGTGTGCGTGTCTATTCTACAAAGGCGCGAGGGCGAATGACGCCACGCGCGCGCTTCTAGCCCGGCGTCGACGCTGGGTATGCCGGGTAATGACTCGGCGTCGATGCGGGGTAACTATGTGACGTGGGATAGTTGTGAGACCCGTCGTGGACGCGTCCCTCGTCGGTCTCGTACGTGAAGCAGGGCTCGCCGCTTTTGCACACGATTCTGAACATGCGGCTTGAACCCGAGCAACCCGTCGGAGTGCACGTGATCGTCGTGTTCAGGGCTGATTTGTTATCGACGACGCTCGTGGCGAATGTATCGACGACCGCGGTCGAGTAACACGCGTCGGAACGACCTCCAGCCATACGATGATCACAGAACGCGTTTTTCGCCTGGTACACGCACGCCTTGGTGGAGTTCCAATCGCCGAGCTCTCTGCCCTCGCACCAATCCACAACTGTCAAGTTCACGTGGTACGGCAACAAACACTTGGGCATCGGACACATCGCGATCGCAATCGCTCCTTTATAATCGTTTGGATCCCACTGGTGGACGCTCATGGCGTTGATCAATGCCGGTTTGCTCACGACGGGTACGTGCGGGCGCACGTGCATCTGACACGCGAGCGGCTGGCCGGCGGAGTACTCGCGTACCAAGGTATTCGTCGCGTTGTCCATGTACCACGCCCCCCAGGAACCACGTTCACCACCGTAGGGTGCGCTCAATTCGCAGTTTCCGTTATCTGCGCACGCCGCAGGCCACGGAGAACCCGTGTAGTACGCGCTCGTGGGCGGGATGCCGTTCACACCAGGTACGACGATGGTGGATATGCGCGCACCGTGAAGCTTGAGTTCAGCCGCCGCGCCCTGGACGCTTCGAAGCTTGTATTGGCAAGACGTCATGTCTTCACCTCCCTCCGTGTTGAACGGATAATCTCTCGTCATGTTTCGATACTCGGGAACACTCACGGCCAAGCACGTCTCAGCCTCGACAGAGGTGGACGGGAGCGATCCAGTGACCACGATGACGCTTCTCTCCGTCGCGTTGAACTCACCGTAATCTTCGAAGATGGCTCGGGCCGCCTTAAATCCTTGCGCCAAGGGCATGCTCTTACCACAACACGCGTCTGGATCAGCTCGCATCTGCTCTAAGCGCGCATGGAATTCAGCGCTCGTGTAGTGATTCAACGGAATGTAGCTTGAGTAGGCATCGCACACGTACGGATTGCCCGTGCCCGGAAGCAAGAGAACGCCCACCTTGGATCCAGTGCCCTCGATGGTGCAATACATGTCGTGTAACATGTCGATCACCTTGCTGTAGAACAACTCCCGGCCGATGTTCGTGCTAGCGTCGACCAAGATGAGGATGTCTCGCCCGTTGACTGTCGAGCACAGCGGAGCAGTGAACGGAGAACCAGACGCCAAGTTGCGAGCGCACCACGAGTTCACCGGCAAGCTTGAGCGATTGTGCGCCAAAGTGTGCTGCCATTCGTACTGCTCTTTAGCACTGCACACACGCGGCGCATGGTTCGCGATCGCTTGGAGACTAATTTCAATCGGTATTGGCGGAGCTTGTGGCGAAGATGGCGGAGGACTTGGCGGTGGTGGTGACAACGGTGTCGTCTGGACATCCAGGATAAATTGCTTGTGACCGTAGCTCAGATACGCCGTTCGCCTGAACCCGTGGGCGGGCGATGCATCGATGTAAAGCTGCAAGCGATCTTCATTGTTCACATGGATATTGCCGGAACTCTGCAATTCTCCGTTGAGATACACGCGCGTCCAAGTCGGCAACTCGTACTGTCCGCCTGATGGAGCCTCGAAGGCTTCAAGATTCTCCATAAAACTGAGGGTCAGTGGCTGATTCGAAGCCGAAAGAGTTGAGATCGTTTGTGGGACCAAGAACATCACCGCGTTCTGTCCAGCATCCAAGGTGACGTTCCTCATCTCAACCATTGTCGGAGGTGACGGAGGCGCCGGCGGTGGTGCAGGAGCTGGCGGATCGTGAAGTAGCGGCGGCGGATTCGGCGGTGGACTCGGCGCTGAATCAGGTGGCGGTAGATTCGGAGGTGGTGGCGAAGGCGGAGGCGAAGATGATTCCGGCAGTGGCACTGGCGTCGGCGTCGGCGTGTCGTAGTAAGACGTATCCTGATCTGGCGTCGGCGTCGGCGTCGGCGTCGGTGTCGGCGTGTCATAGTAAGACGTATCCTGATCTGGCGTCGGCGTCGGCGTCGGCGTCGGCGTGTCATAGTAAGACGTATCCTGATCTGGCGTCGGCGTCGGCGTCGGTGTCGGCGTGTCATAGTAAGACGTATCCTGATCTGGCGTCGGCGTCGGCGTCGGCGTCGGCGTCGGCGTGTCATAGTAAGACGCATCCTGATCTGGCGTCGGCGTCGGCGTCGGCGTGTCATAGTAAGACGCATCCTGATCCTGATCTGGCGTCGGCGTCGGCGTCGGCGTGTCATAGTAAGATCCTAGTCGGGCGATGCCGCAACCGGCATCGGCGGCATGGACGGCCATGGCGGTGCGTGAATGGGTGGTTTCGGTGGCGGCGGCGGACGTATTTGCCGCGGCGGCGGCGGAGACACCATCGGTGGCATCGGCGGCTCATACGAGTGATACGACGGTGGCGGAGACACTTGGGCGGTGGTGACGATCACGTTCGCCACTACGTCACCAATAGTCATCCGCACAATTCTACTCTGGTCTTGCCCACTCGGAGCGACGATTCGAAGGATGATTCTATCGCCGTTCCGGGCTGCGTACGGCAGTCCGTGCAATTGGCCGTTCACCTTGACGCTGATCCAATCCGGCGGCGTCGTCGACTCGTCGAGGAAAGGAGGCTCTACGTACCCGACCGATCCTAAAGCGGCTTCGCCACGCGCGCCTTGGCTCCACCCAAATCGAAAGTGAAGCAGGGCGCGGTGAGGCGTGCGATCAGCATTGAAAGTAGGCAAGCCGCTCACCACGAATGCCGTGTCTGTGGGAATGCCCACGATTTCGAGGTACCCGCCTCGGATGACGTACTTGTCCGCGTACAACACGTCGTCGCGCAATACAACGGGTCGTAACCTCGGTCCGACAACCGGTTGTGTCGTTGGCGCTGTCGTTGGCGCTGTCGT